GGCGTTTCGGGACTTTCAGGATATTCATATATGTGTTTTGGACTGTATAACTATGATTTATGCTTCCGCTTACGTTTTAACGATCTTTTGACGATGTTTTGATGGTTTTGACGAACTTATTATATTTTGAAGTACTTTTCAGAAAACACAGTTTTTCAGTAACCGGGCGTTTTTATTAAGTTAAAACAACGGTTTTCTAAAGTAAAGTAACGATTTTTCACGGTAGCACCCCAAATCAGTTTTGCAAAGTAAAAATGTTTTAGTTTTCAAAGACTTTGCGAATATTTGCGCAACTCTGATTTATCTAGTAAGGTGTGGTGTTACAATTGGTATCAGAGCACGTTTTCTGCGTCTCTGATAAGCTTTCAGTCAGAAAAGTTTTCAGTCCGAAAAACCCGAACCGTCATGTTCACGCCCCGCCGACGACAGGTAAGTGCTGTTGCAATTCAGTTTTTCAGTTATTATAAACATATTACTTTGTCTATGCTCAGAATTGAGGATCAGGACTTTAGTTAAGATGCTCGAATCAGATTCAGACTCTAGAGGTTGGACATGACTCTAGAATTCAAGCATTCAGATATGACTCTAGACGTTAGGATTTTTCCGAGATGACTCTAGAGTCCTTCAGGTTTCATGTCAGTAATTATCGGCCAATTTTGGCAACTCGTCAAGAGATCTGTGTGCCTAGTAATCAGTCAGTAAGGCTATCATGTAATATTCAGTAATGTTAATACCGCAATACATGCCATTATTCCTACTTCTGCAGCCAATGGTAGCTAACCGGACTTCTCTAAAAACTCACCCCCACCTCTTCCCCCCTGTTTAATATCCCAACTATTCTCTATCCAATTCCGGGATGGATCATGTCGGCTTGGCACCTTCCTTTAGTTCGTGCTCGCACGGGGCACTACGAGTGGGTTGGATAGAATGAACGGCAGCTATTGAGCTTTTTAATTATAATCAAACTTTATACAAGTAAATCAAATAATTATGCCTTTCCGTTTGCGCCCTTGGAATCCTCCTATACCTTTAATAAACTGCCCCAAATCAGAGCCCGATCATCAGGGTCCTACCCAGGCTACGGTAGTCGCTCAGTTCCGCGACTATCATGCAGAGAAGTTCTCAGGTCAGGGCGACCCCCGTATTGTCGATGAATGGATTCAGGGGTTGGAGT